TTGCGGAGCAGCTGTGCTTGGGGGCCTGGTGGGAGATGGCACCTGGTGCTCCAGGAAAAGGCCTCAGACCTGCGCGTGCGCGGGTGCACGGAAACCACGGGGTGGGGTGTTTCTTGCCCAGGGGAGACTCTGACTTAGGAGATCAGAGGTGGAGCCTGAGGATCTGACTTTCTAACAGTTCTCAGGCTACGATCAGGCTGCTGCTCGTCTGCCCGACACGTTGAGAAGCCAGAGCCTCGTCAGGGAACCCCAACTGCAGCGTGAATCTGCATCACCTGGGGGGGTGAAGGGAGGGAGCTGTTAAAACAGATCGCTGCCTGCCCTGCTCCCAACCCCAGTTTCTGATAGAGGAGGTCAGGAGAGGCCCGAGAATGTGCCACTGTAACAAGTTCTCGGTGATGCTGCTGGTCCTGGGTCCCCACTTGGAGAGAGACTGGCCTCGACAGTAAGATGTGAAATGGTAGAACTAAGTCATGCAGCCCAAAGCATTCCTATGTAACACAGATTCTATTTTTTTGGTCCAAGTGCTACCATTTTATTTGTTAAATTCTTTGCGAGGCTTGTTTTCCTATGATCTCTTGCCTTCTTTGTAACAGTGGGTACCTAGGGGAAAACCCAAGCAAATCGAAGGTTACGGAAGATTAAATTCTAGCTTAACTGAAATAGTCTGCTTCGCAAAATGAAGTCCCCTAGATCCCCGACTTTCTCCTCACCCCACGTGCTCCTGGAGCACGCTGAGCTGCTCTGTGGCATCAAGCACTGTGGGCTGGAGGTCAGAACTAACGCTGCTCCCTGTACCCACCTTCAAGCTCCGTGTGACAGCTGCCGGGGTGACACTGACTTCCCGGTCTTTCCAGCGTGGGTGACCTACCATGCTCCCATGTCATCACTCACAGTCAGACCAATGCCCTACCTCCTCCAAAACCCTCCTGAGCTCCCCTGGGAGCTCCGCCTCACAAGGACACGGACAGCCACCTGCTGCCCGGGTGTCCTCCCCTGCATACCTCGGCTTCTAGGTAATCCCACGTCTTACCTAGTGGTTTAATTCCTGTTTCCACCCAGACCTCCCTCACAGCTTGTAGGCAGCCAGAGGCCAGGTCCCGAATCCTGTTCATCTTTAGCCCCTGCTTCTCCAGAGACCATCTTTCCCCAAGCAGTCTTGTTTGTGCACTTACAGGCTTCCTTGCGCCGCTTTCTGCTGTGGACAATAGAGAGACCATCCCATAGTCCAGAATCTTGTAATTAACTGTTGTCTGAACAAATACTCTCAACTACAAATCTTCTTCTCCTCCTTGGAGTGCCCAGAGCAAACAACCCCGTCCCGGCAGGCTAGTCCCCACGGACCCAGGAAAGCTCCCACTGGGATGGGGCATTGCTGCTGGGTGGACCAGCTGGGGGTGGGAAGAGGCCCCTTGACCTGCAGACTCGAGGAGTTTGACTAAAGGCAGAGAAATGGTAAGACAAGAGGAAGGACTTCCAGACAGACACTCAGGGTGGGTGAGGTGGGGTGGAGTGGGGATAAACAGTCAAGTGGCATCTACCTGGCCCTACACTCAGGTGAATGGGGAGCTCGTCCCCTCAGTGGGGCCTCCTTGCCCAGCCTCACTCTACCTCCGACAATCAGGCACCAAGAAGATGCAGATGATGGTGACCACAATGGCAGAGACGTGGGCAGGGATGAGAAGAGGGAAGAACGTACAGTGTGGCTGGGGGTGTGAGCTGCAGGGGGACAGATGTCTGGGCTGGCCGACCACAGATCCCGAAGTCTCTGAGGGACAACTCATGGGAGTGGCTTCTGATATGTTTCCACCGTGACCCAGTACATATATCTGTGCAGGACACAGTAAAACTGAAATCAGTCACAAAGCAGGAGTTACCATGCGACCGGTGATGCACTCCACCGACTGATCTGACTTCATAACAACCGGCAGCTCTACACTCTGCCTATGGTGTCTCAGTCACTTCAAGGGCCTCCCAAGCTCCGCTCAGTGCTCCCAACCCACTGAGCACCTGCTGTGTGCTCCAGAATGGGAGGACACAGAGACCACATCACACAGACCGAGGCTGTACAGGTGGCAGAGATGAGGCCACCAGGTGCTACCCAGACATGACTGAGCGCATTCAGCCACTGGTGAGCACTGAAAAGCAGGCAGAAGTATCCCTGTCTCTCCGAGCTGCCCTGTGGAGATCCCATCCCTCCTCCCCTCCATGGACTGGAGCCCTCCGTCCCCTCCCCCCACTATGGCGCAGACAGTGGAGGAAGATCGGTGGCAGCACTAGTCATAAATAAAGGTAATGGAGTTGACCTTGCAAGCTTCCAGGTCTTCCTGGGCCAGGCCTGATGCATCTTCTGGGGAGGTCCGTTCAGAGTGCGTTTTCTGTACTCGGGAGCTTGTGTTCAGAGCTCCCTGTCCTCTACTTACTGACCTAAAGCTTTAGAGAACTCATGTTCCTCAAATTTATTTCTCAAAATTAACAGAATTTCCAACACCCTCTGAGGGCTCCGAAGGGGAAAATAAGCCATGACGAGGCATGCTAAGCCCCTCCTACAATGATCCAACGGGATCCTGCAGGAGGTCAGTGTCAGCCAGTGCGAAGCTATTTCCACGATGAAGGACTGTGCAGCCCGCACCTCTTCGCTCTGAGCACAGCCCTTCCCCCGCCATCTGGGCTATGAAGGCTGTGGCCTGGCCTTTGGAAAACACAGGGACCATCCCATACCCCAGAACCTTGGGACGAACTGGGAATTAGGAAGCCATCCAAGTAACGAGGAAAGATCAGGGAGAGGTAGAAAACAGAAGCGAGGGGATCCCATCAAGGGAATGACAGCTCCATGGGCCCCTTCTGTCCACCTGGAGGCTTGGGGAGAACACCCACCACCTCCCACAGTGGAGAAGGCCCTGGGACCAGTGCGGCGCCTCCAGGAGCCACTGGATACTTGGGGATAACCAGGGACGGGGCCGTTCCCAGCATCTCCATATCTTCTAGGCCTGGCACAGGCTGCGCAGCAGGGGGCTCGGTCACAGGTCGAACTGACTGGGAAACGGCTCAGTGGCTGATATCTTTTACCTGGCCCGGTGTGCGACAGACGGTTGGCCATGAAACCTAGGGGAATCTTAGTGCCTGTTTCTGCATCTGTCAAAGGGGATGATTACTCTGGTGACATGGGCCTGTGCATGAGCGTTCTTGTTAAAATGGAAGATGCTTGCCCCTGTGGAGTTGTTACTGTCACTGCAGAAAGGCCGAGCTCTGTCTATAAGAGAATAAGCCAAGACAGCCGACGTGGCTCTGGGAGCCCTTGCTACTGAGGGGTGTTGTCATGCTTGTGGGAGGGGAAGGATTGGGGAACCATGCCACCCTGTACTGCCTGCTCTGGGAAAGTCACTTCTTCACATCACAGCTCACCTAGATGCCCACTCGCCCTGCTCCTCTGGGAAAGCCATCTTTGGGGCGGGGGAAAGAACCTCCACTTGAAAGCTGAGCAGAAGCTGAGGCTCAGAGAGGTGACGAGTCTTCAAAGGCCGCTGTTAGGAGGGGGGAAGCCAGTAGGGGGCGCTTGTCCTAACCTGCCTGCTTGCAACTACACGCCTGGTTCTGCTCTTGGCATCAGCCTATAGTAGTCCCGAACGGTTACTGCCCCATTTGGATACGCAGCAGAAGGAAATGTAGGCAACGGAAAGACCTCAAGGAATACAAGGCAGGAGAGGAAGGGCCCAGCAAGGAGGGCCCCGCTGGGAATGAAGGGCTTAGGACAAGACCCTGGGTGGTCAGGACAGACAGGAGGGACAGCCTCTCAGTGAAAAGGCACTTCTGAGCACGCTGCTTCCGCTTAAAGATGGCACAGGGACCCAGGTGAGCAGGGGTTCAATCAAGGGGCAACCACTCAGGAATCCTGGTCTTTGGAGGGTAAGACTGAACCAGAGCCCCCCACCCACCCCCCCAATCCTCCCAGAGGCCAGGCAAGGAAACCCCATTCCAGGCGCAGGGCTGAGTTTTAAAATCAAATATTCTCATCCTGGCAAGTCTGTGGTCTTGCTATGCAACCTCTTTGCCCCTCAGTTTACTCATCTGTAAAAGAATGAACGCAGAACCTCAGAGGTTAGCTGATCCACCTCCTGCCCAGCCAGGGCCAGTCTCTGACAGGTGGGCTGCTCACCACCGCACGGGGCAGGCCACTCCCCACCAAGCAGCTCCAAACCACCAGAGAGTTTTGCTTTTACTCAAATGGCATAATGGCTATGAAAATAAAAGCTAATTGAAGACAGTTGTTATTAACACCATCAACACTGGGGGCCACGTGAGACAGGGTGAAATGCAGCTGGAGATGGGCTTCCTGAGCATGAAGGCAGCTGAGCAGGACGCTGCTGAGTGCTGGGTTCTCCCTGGGGAGATTAAACAGCAGCTGGAGAGGTTGCTCAGGTCCTGTGAGATCAAGAAGGACAGAACTGCTGCAAAGGTGGAAAGGAACATACCCGACCTCAGCAAAGCCCGGGGCGCTGGGGTCTGTGGTTTACAGAAGGCATATTTCAGACTGGAGTGGGAGACCCGCTGGCCTCCTGGGGGGAGCACAGATGGAAGGCAGAGAGGGTGTTCCCAACATGTTTGCCCTGTGGCCCTGCTTACTAATCGTGAAGAGCTCACTGTGGAAACCAGGAAGGGAGAGCCAGGGACTCAGGTAGGGGTAAAGTACAGAGGGTCCGAGCCGACGGGTCTTAGAGGCAGCTGAGGCTGGCAGACAGAGGTGTGGCAGGACAGCCTGGGGCCCAGCTAGTTCAGGCCTCGCCACGGGAACGCTGAAGCATCCTACCTGCCAGTTGGAAGCGTGTCCCACCCAGCCCTAGCAGGTGGCCGGCCTCACTGCCCTCGTGCCTGTGAAGGTGTGACTCCACAGCCCCATGCTGTGCCCCGTGAGGCCTGTGAGCGGCACTCAGAAAGGGAGCTGGAGGAAGGCAGTGGTGACAGAGGGGGATGCAGGGGCCAGACGGGCTGTGTCCACTCACCCACGATCTCGTTCTCCTCCAGATTGATGGTCTCCAGTGCAGGCAGGGTGGTGAGCTGCTCAGGAAAGTCGCGGAACTGGTTCCGAGACAGGTCGATGGCCTTGAGGTGCTGCAGGGCACTGACCTCACTGGGGAGGCGGTGCAGGCAGTTCCCTTCCAGGCGCAGCTCTGCGTATGGGGGAAGGGCGGGAAGGGTGAGCAGGAGAGCAAGAGACCACTGCCAGCAGCCTGTGGATGACTCGGTGGCCCCTCCCGGGCCCGCTACGTCAGCGGCAGGCCATGCTCAGGGAACCAGAACACGCGTGCTTTCTGGTCAGAGCAGACCTGCCTGATCCCAGACTGAAACCAAGACACCAGGGCCCAAGTGGCCACGGCAAAGCTCCACGGCTGCCCGGCTTTCCCAGCACTGCGCCCTCTTCTCTCCTTCTTCCTCTGCTAAGTGCCATCAGCTACAGAAAAGTAACCCGACGGGCTGAAGCAAAGGAGGAAGTGGGGAAGAACACGGCGCTGAGCGAACGCCTGCGGCCGCACCCCTCACGTAATCGGGTGGCTGTCTGCTCTCCCCCGAGAGACCGCGAGCTCCTCAAGAACCAGGTCTAGGGCTGTCTCCTTATCCCTCCAAACACCGGTGCTGAGAGGGCATGTGAAACCCTCCCACGGAGCCGGAGGGCTGGCACCCAGTGCACGTGGGCTCTCCTCTACTGCTCACCTGCGCCCACGCCGGGCGGGACAGGCGCTCAGGAGGAGCCGCCGAGGGCGCTGAAAGGCAGGCTGTGGCCGTGGCCGATTTGGCTCAGCGGTTAGAGCGTGGGCCCACGAACCGAAGGGTGGCGGGTTCGATTCCCAGTCAACAGCACAAACCTGGGTTGCAGGTTTGATCCTGGGCCCAGTCAGGGTTGTGTGGGAGGCAACTGATCAATGTTTGTGCCCCCCATCCACCCTTCCACTCTCTCTAAAAATCAATGGGAAAAATATCCTCGGGAGAGGATTTACAATGACAAGAAAAGGAAGGAAGGAAGGAAGGAAGGAAGGAAGGAAGGAAGGAAAGGAAGGAAGGAAGGAAGGAAGGAAGGAAGGGAGGAAGGAAGGAAGGACAGCCTGTGAGAAACTGAATATACACACAGACCATGACCAGACCAACTGTAAAAACTGAACTCTGACCTCCAACCTGCAGCAACCTGCCTGGGAAACCAACCCATTGGTCCAGTAACTACCAGGAAGCTAGTGTGCTGGGTCAAACTGGTCAGACCGCTATCTCTACCAACAACCCAGAAAGCCAAACAATCCGGGAAGCCAGATAATACCCTCTAACAACTGGCTCCGAATGGCCAGGACTTGATTACTGACAGTTTCCTTCATTTCTGTCCCCACTTCTGACTTAGCACCAACCAGAGAAAGGCAAGTACATACCCTAACCGATCCCACTGGAGGCCCCCTGCTAGTGGGCCTGCCCCAGCGTCCCCGGGCCAGTGGCCTCCCATCAGGCCACCCGCAGCCTTCTCCTTCCTCCAGGGCCGGCGTCCAGCTCCTCTGCTGCCTTGGACACGAGTCCAGGGGCTGACTCCCCTGCAAGGGCCGCTCTGAATAAGCAGCCCCGGCAGTTCCCATCCGGGTGTCTGTTCATTTCTGCAGGCCTGTCTCACACGCCTTGGCCTGGCAGGCCCAGGACACCCTCAGTAAGAAGAGCTGAATGAGTTGTGTGGAGAGGAAGTGGGGAGATGGGAACACAGAAAAAGAGGGGACAAAAGAGCCACAGCCAGACACTGGGACCTGATTGTCCTCTAGACCGATTCCATCTGTGCCACTGTCCTTCCCAGATCTTGCTCTTTCCTGCCACAAATGGGTGAAGGACATTAAGGAGATGGAATCACTAAAGATGACCCTGCTCTGAGGGGGCCACGGGGCTGGCAGAAAACAGTCGCCAGGGCGCCCACAGGAGACAACTTGGCAGGCAGGGGGCTGGAAGATGGTTCTCTCCCCTACGCCATGCAGCCCCCTCCTCTGTCAAGAACCCAGAAGAGGACACTGGCAGGCTGTGAAGAGCCCAGCTAGTCCTATTCAAGCCTCCCCTTCCCACATAAAAGGTGACGGTTTTTCTATTTGAAAGAGAAACCACAACAAAGCCTGGGGCCCAGAGCTGTTTCTGTGGGAACCGGGTGGATGCTCAGCTCCAGCCCCTCCCTGCAGGGCACACCGCAGCCTTCCCTTGGCAATCCCAGGCTCCGGCAACACAGCAGGGAGTTCAAACTGTATCCTTCAACACACTAGTGACCGAAAGCGTATTGTGATTCAGGGCCGAGGCATGTATGGGTCTCTAAGCACATTTCTCTGACTCTCATCCGTGGGCTCCCTGGAGGGGGCCTGCTTACCAACCCACAAGTCTTTAGCAAACGTCAAATCCTTTGAAAGCCTTGCTCCCACACTCACCCCACTGCCCACGCCACTCTTGGGAAGAATTCATTCCTCTTCCCAGCAGCCCCAGTGTTTTGTCCACACTAGTACCACAGCCCTTGGTGTTGTTGATGAGTCTGTTCCACAACCCTGGGCTCCTTCAGGGAGAGAACTGGTCTAGAGGCCTTTGTTTCTGAGCCTCCTACAGGTCCGGACTGCAGCAGCTCGAGGGCAGGGTGAATGAAGGAAAGCCCAGATGAACTCCTCTCACCCAAAGGAAGCCTCCCTGCCTGCTGTGCCCTTCCCAGGGGCTCCACCAAGCCCCATCATCCATTTTCTATTATTCTATCCTCCTCTGGAAAGCAAGCGGCCCATTCCATTTGGCTACGCACGGCTCTGGGAGACCCTTGGGCTAAGGCAGTGTCCTGGAGAGGCAGCCCTGGCCTGTGTGGAGGGCAACCAGGGCGTACAGTGCTGAGACCTGGACAAGTCCCCTCTCTCCCTGACCTTCCTTCTCCATGCCTGAAATGAGGCGATGGGAGAGTCTCCCAACTGGTGGCCCTTGAGCTAAATCTAGGGTTTTATCGCTTTCATAGTAAAAATACGAGCCTTGTGAGCTTCACTCAGAAACAATTACAAAGACCAATGTCTCTTTCTTGCCCTTGTGTTTGTACCGACCGGTCTTTCCAGGTCCTGCCTGTAGCTCCCTCCTGATCACTGTACAAGCTGCTTCCTGTCTCTCAGCTGGGTTTGCCCATTCCCACCTCCCTTTCCCCTCTGGGCGCTGCCCAATGCCCAAACCTCCTGTAGGAAGCCTTAAGTTGGCAGTGTGAGATATGCTTGCTGAGTTCCTCCTGCTCCATCAGCGTTTTACACCCTGGTTTCTGGAAACAGGCTCTTAGACCCTTTCATGCCTCGAGCAAGGCTATGCCTCCCGTGCTCTCCCACGCTCCTGCTCCACCGCTTCGCAGACACATGCCAGTGCCCAGGTCGCGGCTCCATCCCACGGTGGCAGAGTGGCACCAGACTCTTGAGAAAGAGGGAGGGCCTGCTCTGTGGAGAGGGGACTGGGCACTGGAGTGGCCACTGCACCCTGCCTGTCCATCGAAGGAGCCATTTCAAACGGGTCTGTAATGCCCCCCTGCTGGCCTGCTGCCCATCCCTCTGCCGAGCCCCCGTCCGCGTGCTCTGTGTGTGCCCAGCAGGAGCATCGACACTCCGGAACTGAGAGCAGCACAGGAGAACAATGCCAGATGGGGGGCCAGGGGGGCTTGCTCAATCACCAAGAAATACTTCTCCTGGGCCTCAGAACCCAAGCACCCCACTGGTCTGTTCAGAATAAGAGAATCACTCCAGGACCCACACCCTGGACCATTAGCCAACCTGATTCACAGCCAGGGAGGCAGACATGACAGAGATTTCCAAGCCTCAGGAAGGACACGGGTTCATCCTCAAAGCCTCCCCCTGGGAATGACTTCCCAGGTCCAGCTGTCGGGGTTGGCCTTGGTTACACTCCCAGTAGGGTCGCAGCCTAAGGACAAGAGCTGGCCACGCCCCCTGGCCTAAGCTGACCAGACCTACCTCGGAGCTGACAGAATGTGGTCATGAACTTGCTGGTGAGGGACTTGAGCTCGTTGTTGGCCAGCGTGATGAGGTGGATCTGGTCCGTGACATTCCGCAGGACCTTGTAGATGCCGATGGGGAAAGAAACCAGCTTGCACTCGGCTAGATCTGTAGCCAAAGAACAAAGACAGACCAGAATCAGCAGCCACAGCGGCCCAAGGACTTGCCCCAAACCATGCTGACCGGACCGGTGTCCCCTCCCAGCCTCCTTGCCCTTCCACCTGTCCCCCGTGTACCAGGCTTGAAACCCTGCCCTTCCCCTTCCAGGAGCCTTCATCACCCTTAATCACACTGCCCCTACCTCGTACCCGGAACCTTAGGGTTTATTCCGGCACTTTCTCTATTAGCACGGCCTGCCCGCCAGCACGTGGAAGGCGGAGCTCTGCGGACAGTGATGCCCAGCACTCACGGCAGTGGCCTTGAGGCCCCGCAAAACCCACGAGCCCCTAAGGAATCATCAAAGACTCAACCGTGAAGCTGCAGTCTCCCGAGCACTGTATAACAGACCGCTTCTTTAAAGACAGGCAATTCAGCCCTGGCCGGTTTGGTTCAGCGGTTAGAGCGTCGGCCTGCGGTCCGGAGAGACCCGGGTTCGGTTCCCGCTAAGGGCACGTACTTTGGTTGCAGTTTGTCCCCGGCCCTGGTTGGTCGTGTGGGTGGCAGCCACTCGATGTGTCCCTTCACGTCGATGTTTCTCTCTCTCTCTCTCTCCCTTCCTCTCTCTCCCTCCCACTCTATCTGTACAAAAAATGGAAAAATATCCTCGGGTGAGGATAAAAAAAAAAAAAAAAAAAAAAAAAAGACAGGCAATTCACAGAGATGTGTGGTGTGACCTTCTTCCCAGCCCTGTCACTCCGAAGGTAAGAAAGCCTGGCACAAGAGGCAGCGGGAAGCTGCGTGGAGACTCGTCTGGCCGTCCCTCAGGAACTGCCATATGCCCAGCAGTTTCACTCCTAGTGCATGCCCGACGGAAACCGAACCAGGTGTCCACACAAAAGCACTTTACACATGGATGCTCAAAGCAGCGTTGTTCATTACAGCCAGATCATGGAAACAACCCCAATGCTCGTCAATGCTGAATGGCTGAGCAAAATGTGGTATCTCCATAAAAAGGAATACATTTAGTCTGGCCGGTGTGGTTCAGTGGTTGAGCATCGACACAAGCACCAAGAGGTCACCAGTTCGATTCCTGGTCAGGGCACATGCCCAGGTTGTGGACCAAATCCCCAGTGGGGGCATGCAGGAGGCAGCCAATTGATGTTCCCTCTCATCGATGTCTCTGTCTCTCTCTCCCTCTCCCTTCCTCTCTCCCTAAAAAAAAACCAATAAAGAAAAAAAACTTAAAAAAAAAAAAAAAAAGGAATATGTTTAGCAATGAAAAGAAATGAAGTACCAATATATGCTATGACATTGAAGGACCTTGAAAATATGATACTAAGTGAAATAAGCCAGTCACAAAGGACCATATATTTAATGAGGTCATTTATATGAAATATCCAGAATAGGCAAATACATAGAGGAGGAAAGTAGATTAGTGGTTACCTAAGGAGGGGGGCATGGGAGAATTGTGGGATGAAGACGAAAGGGCACAGGTTTCCTTGTGGGGTAATGAAAATGTTCTAAAATTTTATTGTAGTGACAGTTGCACAACACTCTGAATACATTAAAGCCACTAAATTGTATACTTTAGATGGTTGGATTGTAGGGTATGTGTTATATATCGATAAAGCTGTTTTATATATGGCAGCAGGGAGACACTCAAAGCATGAAGGTCAAGAGAGGATGATCATTTAAGTCATGTAAGTTCCCTAAGTCTGTTTCTTCCTCTGTAAAATGGGGATATTGTTATCCACCTAGCAGGGCTGTCAGGAAAAGTAAATGTAATATAAAGTACTAAATAAAGTGCCTGGCAGGAATGTAGCAGTACTACTACAGATGTTATTTCTCTCTTCCCTAAGTGCCCCCATTACTGGTGATCACCCTCCCAAGCCTTGAACCCCAGGAGTACTCACCAGCTCAGTACTGCCCCATCTCTCTCAGCAAACTCTTGTCTTTTCCCAAAAAGAGGCCAGGCTTCCCCCAGGCCTCTAAGCCTTCGAAGATTGTTCCAAATTAAATACACAGAAATAAATAATATTCCTATATGCCAGCAAGAGAAGAAAGTTTCTAAAGACCCTATTCTGAACAGCAACATAATGCCAAGCTACAGAAACAGAATAGAAGCCCTTCTCCCTCATCTGCCCCCTAGCATTTCTTCTCTTGCTCCAAGACCAGCTCAAATGTCACCTCCTCCAAGAAGCCTTCTCTCCCTGCCATAAGCAGTCAGTTGCTCCAGCCTCCTAGTCTCATATAGTGCGAATGAAACCTCTTCATCCTGTATTGTATTAAGCCCTTTGTTTCTGCTTTCCCACTGGTCTGGAAAGACTGCAGGGCACGGTGCCAGCAGAGATCTAGCAGGCTCGGGGCAAGGCAGGGTATTGCTGACCTCCCTGAGCTGGTGAGGAAAAAAAGGAGACAAGTGGGGTAAAGACAAAGGTCCAGATGACAGAGGGTTCACAGAGGTCCTCTCTAGGGCATCCTGGGAAGAAGTGTTTCCTGGCTCCTCTGGGCCAGGGTTGCGCTAGGTGAGCCCGGCCCTGCTGCTGTAACCACCAGCTCTTATATCCGCAGGTGGGGCTGGCAGAAGAGAATGTGAAGTCTGCAGGGGGAATTAATCCCAGGAAGCGAGGCTTTCAGAAGAGATCAGGGCTGGAACTGGATCAGCTCTGTGGGCTCCAAGTGTAGGGCAGGCTGGGAATTCTAGAAAGAATAAACCCTTCCAAACAACAAGTCCCCTAGTACTTTGTGCCAAAGCACAGGGGGTCTTTGTGGTGATTGCTGTAAATCATATCAGCCCATTGGGTGGAAGCGAGGGATCTACAAGCTAGGAGCAACATCAAGGAAAACATCGGAAGCTGTCCCTTTAATACAAAGAGCCAAAAAGGATGCCTTCCATCACCAGCATCACTGAATATGGTCTTAGAAGTTCTGGCCAAAGAAATAGAAAACATAAACAATGGAAACAGACAAAATTATTATTATGTGCATTTGAAATGACTGTGTAACTTCAAAAATCCAAAGCCATCTGACAACTCAAATTAAATAGACCTCAGCAAAGTGGCCGATCCAAATAGACACGCAGAATTCAGTAATATTCCTATATGCCAGCAATGAAAATATAGTTTCTAAGGATCCTATTCCAAACAGCAATAATAATATGATAGTCATAATAAAAAATGAATCTGAATAATATTAAAAGTAGAACAGTTCACAAAGATGTTTTTAAAACTAGATTGTAATGGGGGTGAAGGGGTCCTTATCTATGGTGACGAAAGATGGTATGACTTTGGATGGTGGGCACACAGTGTAATATACAGATCCTGTAACATAGAAATCCACACCCCAAACCTATATGATCCTATTAGCCAATGTCACCTCAATAAATTTAATTTAAAAAATAAAATAAAATAAATAAAAAGTGGGCAGGTTCCATAAAACTAAAAAAAAAAAAATTTGTATGTGAAGCTATAACATGTTCATTGATGACAAGTCAAAATATTGAAATAATGTTGATTTTTTTGTTTGTTTGTTTGTTTTATTAATCTTCACCCAAGGATATTTTTTCCATTGATTTTTAGAGAGAATGGGAGCAGGGAGGGAAGGGGAGTAAAAGAGAGAGAGAAACAGCAGTGTGAGAGATTGATCCCACACACTGATCCTGCCCACGCCCTGGCTGGGTCTAGGGATCAAACCTGCAACCCAGGTACGTGCCCTTGAACCCAGAATCCTTTGGTACGTCATGGGCCAACACTCTAACCACTTACCCACACCAGCCAGGGCATGTTGATTTTTTTTAAGAAATTGATTTATAGATTGTTCAATATCATTTCTACTCAAATCCCAAAACTTTTTATATTAAGTGATGAAATGGTTTTAAATTTCAACTGAGGAATAAGCAAACATGACTCTTAAAAGAAAAGATGGGGTGATAACCAATATTATAAGGCTACAATAATTTCAAAAGAGAAAAAAATAGATAATAGAAACAAAATATATAGCCCATAAAATTTGGTCCATAAATGATGTCATAGTTTAATAAATGCTAAAGGAGGCCTCACAGATAAATCAGGGAAGGATTAATAACTGATGTTAGAATAACCAATTAACAATTTTGGAAAAAGAAAAAAAGAGACTCTCAATAACCTAAAAATCAAAATAAACTCTACATCGAATTACACTTTAAATATTTTTGAAATCAAAACCAAAAAAATCAGAATGTAACATTTATACAACCTCTTATGTGAGGATGACTTTCACATCTAAGAGCTATAAAAGAATCACAAAGGAACAGATCAACTAACCTAACTGTATAAAATCTATAAAACACCTGAATGCTTAAAAAAAAAATCCCTGGCCAGTTTGGCTCAGTGGTTAGAGCGTCAGCCCGTGGACCAAAGAGTCCCGGGTTCGAGTCTGGCCAAGGGCATGTACCTCAGTTGCAGTTCATACCCGGCCCCAGTTGGGGTCGTGTGGGTGGCGACCAATCAATGTGTCTCTCTCACATCAATGTTTCTCTCTCTCTCCCCCTCCCACTCTATCTGAAGATAAATGTAAAAATATCCTCTGGTGAGGATTTAAAAAACAACAACAAAAAGGCAAGCAGCAGATTGTGAAAGAGGATCTATAAGTAGGACACATAGTTATCTTCATTATTTAAAATGCTCAATATTTTTCAATTAAAAGAAACTAAGACCAGAGAGAGATGGGAAAAGGACATAAGATATTCACGAGCAAGAAAAAGATAATCAGTAAACAAATACATGGCTCCTGCTATGTACTGCCAATATCCTTTCTAGAACATTTATATCAATATACATATATTCTGTCCAACAAATAAGGGGATCATTTTTTAAAATCTTTGTTAACATGATCAGGGGTATTCCTTACTTTAATTTGCAATTCTTTCAATGATGAGATGATCTTTCATAGTTCATTAACCCTTTTTATTTTCCCTGTGGAAAATCCTGTTCATATCTCTTGCTATTTTTCTTTTTCTTTTTTTTGTGGTA